TTTTGGCAATTTATGAATACCTCCTGCTAATTTAGTTGGAAAGAATTAGTGTCTTAATTAAGCATCTTATTGTTAAATGAGTAAAATTATTACTGTCTTGTAGACTACGTGTTGCCATCCAAGATGCTGAACAGCTGAGAACAGAAAGAATAGGCCTGGAGGAACAAATTGGAGAGCTTCAGACAAAGAACGCTAATCTCGAACGGGACAAGTACGAAGCTGTTGCAAAAGTCCAGGATTGCATACAGCTCTTGGAAGAAGCTAACCTACAAAAAAGTCAGGTAAGGCAATGGATGAAGGTACTTCTTGAGATATTGAATACTTTGATCACTTCGTTGTGCCTAATTATGTATTCTCCCAGGCATACACACATACACAATGAGCTGTCTGGTGTACTAAAATCAGTACTGCGTAAGGTAGCAAACTGTGATATGACAATACATTACTGAGCCTTGTCATACAGTATAAATTTCAAAGGATACGTTGAGTGCTGGATAAAGGTGATCTAAGTGATAATACTGTACCTGAGCTTGAATTTTCAGAGTGCTTTATCAAATACTTACCAAAAAATTGGGCTGTCAGGAATAAAAGGGAAGGTCCTATTATGAATTTATAACTTACTGATGGGTAGGAAAGAAGAGCTAAAATTCAAGGGAGTTTTTTTGTTATATCATGGACATAGGTCACCAAGTCAGTGAGTTCTATGTTCAGATCTTAATTATTCAGAAGAAATCTGGAAAAGTGACAGAATGATGAGTGGGTAAATCTACAGTCGGGAAAAAATTGCAAAGGTGTTTATTACTGTATTCTAAAATAGCAGAAGAAATTCAAACTTGCCATACCAGGTGTTGAATTTGGTATTACCAGTCAAAAGATGTTTTAGGAGATGGTGTGGGCGTCTCCTTAAGAATACGTTTGCATAATCCTCAGTGATGCTTAATACAATGAATAGAATGTTTGGAATGAGAGTTAAAGATGCCTTTAAACATAATGCACCTTCATGTGCAGTTTTGATCAGCCAATGTCAGGCAAGACATAGGAGAATTAGGAGGAGTTGACAGAACTAGATGTGTGGAGAGGCCTTAGAACAAATTTTTATATACACTATGTGATGAAACTGTCACAAGATGATGTGTGTGCCAAAAGCCATGTCAAATTCATGACGGGACAATCCACCAAAACTTCCTAAAGAACAGGATCTAATCCAGTGAGTCTTGACGTGTCTATTGATGAAAAATAATAGTCAACCTTTTTTTTCCCAGTTCTTAACTTTCCTGAAGTATCTGCTGTTTGCCCCTGTGGCAGGTAGGATACAGGGTTTGGTAAACTTTTGTCTGATATGGGCTGTTTGTGTTTCAATGCTAAGCTTCAGTTGGAGTCAGATTTTTAGTAATCTAATGGATGGTGTTTGCTGGCAAGACAGAACTTTAATGCACAACTGACGACTGTAGCCGTCAGTAGGTGAAACCCAGTTTAGTTAATGTCTGTGGGAATAAATGGAGCCTCTTAAAAGTGATTCCGTTTGCGCTAACATATTGGAACTGTCGAGCAGTTAAGGAGATGAACGCTCCCTTTCAGTCTGAAGTTGTTTTTCAAACTCGGAGCCTCCCAAGTATCCAAACTAGCTTTTTACTTTGAACTTTTGGAGTATTAAAGTTAGTGTTGCTTTTGCTGACTTCAGTTCTGTGACAAAGGAGACAGACCTGTCTCCTTTCTTCTGACAGAAAAGGGAATTAACTTCTTTAAAGAGGTCCTGCTACCTTCCAGCCTGCTTCCAGAAGAGATTAAAATATTGACAAAGCTTAGGGTTCTGGTCCTTACTGCAGTTAAATTTCTGTAATTCTTCTTGTTAGACAAAAGAGGATTATCATCTTGTTACAGTCATTCTTCCCATACATTTATAGTCGTTTAGGAAACTCTTTGGTGGCTTCTTTCCCCTTTCATAATTTCCTCATAACTTTTGGCTTCTCATTTCCTTTATGAACAGACCTTCTACAGTTCCCTTTACCTGTTAGGCTCTGGTTCAGAGAGGGGTGAAAAAATGGAGTTTTACATCCTCCAGCTCTTGATGGCCACCTTTGGACTTGTCAGTTACTTTTTCTTGGTAGGATACCTTGATCCTTAACAGCACTCCCCTACAGCCGGATAGTGGGGAGAATATGAAGAATGAAAGGTAAAAATAAAATCTTTTTTTTTTTTCCAAAGTTTAAAAACCAGGAAGTACTCCTTCATTTGAAAATTACTGGTAAGGAGTATGAATCACCTTTCCAGTCCGCTAAGTATTAATACACCAGAGCGTTTTTCATCCAAAAGTAGTTCAGCAGATCACTTGATGCCAGTTCCTGTGAACTTGGATGAAGTTGACAGAGAAGTGGCTCAGTAAAAATTATTGTGATGCACATTGCGTCTGTAACACAGTAACTGAACGGTTACAGATAAGTAAGTGGCTTGTTACAAGTAACAGTTTAGATTAATGCTGTAGTAAGAATAAACTGGTATTTGCAGACACTGGTTAATTTACTGCTCTGGCTAGAACATCCTGAATTTTTCAAACCAGGAAGTTTATTAATGAGCAGAATTAAAAAAAAAAAGGCAGCATAATATGTGTATCTTAACTCCTTGGGTCCTAAACTGTGGCCACAGAGGTTTCTCCCTGCTCTGTAAGAGATCAAGGAGTGGGAGTAACAGGCTGTCATAATAATGCTGCTTCTGTTATGTTAACATTATGCAGCACACAAGGCTAAGCTTACAAAGAATCAGAGGAATTTTAAAAGACTAGTTTGAGAAATAAGATATAAAATTGAATGGGAGCTGTAAAAAAAGTGTGACCGATGAAGTTACTGCCTGAAGTGAGTAACCTTCCATAGGTTGAATTTGTCATCCATTAGGGGCGTTTTTATGTCTTTCTCCCTTTATGCATGTACATACTCTCTGTGTGCCACCCAGGATTTTTCTTCTCACCTGTCACAAATTCTATATTCTATAATCTTTTCAGACCAGTACCTCCTGTTATACTTGAACATCAGTAGCTTTCTTGCATCCTCTGGAGCAAGGGTTCCTTGCTGCACTTCTTTTTGTAATTCTCGCTGTTCTTTTATGCTAAAGAGCTGTTTGGTTCGTTGTCACCCACCATGAAAGGGACTGCATACACCTTCCTTAGTTGCTTACAGATTTTTACTCCTTTACTTTGTCTTCTGCGAGATGAGTAGTTCAATATATCAACCATAAAAAACAGCACAGCTGTATGTAAGAGCACATGTGTTTGTGCATACAGGTATTTGGTTTGCTAACAGAGAGCTTCCTCTGCGTCACTGTTGGTGGTTTTTATTACAGATCCTGGCCCCAGATGGGAACATTGGAGAGTAGCCTTGCCTTTTAGTCTGAATTCCTACGCTTTCTCCTGTGTAATTCCGTGCCAAGCCAAAACCTGAAAGTCCCAATATGAGTCCCAACAGAAAAAGGCACCTACTGAACACTGCCTTTTTGTGTCTGATATACAGGAATGTGAATGTAGTACAAAATATTCTGGCTTTTCTGGTTTTCTTGTTGGGTCTGGGTGTCAGCTACTGCGAAGTAAAAAGGAAAAAAGGTTTTTTGAACGGTGACTCTGTGTGGTTTCTTCTCTCAGTGCTAGATACTGTGTCACCAATGAAATATTATCAGTAGTATTTCAAGCTGTTAATTTTTTCTAGGCACTCTTTGGGGAGAAACAAAAGGAAGAGGAAATCAAAAAAATGAAAGATGAAATGTCTCAATTTGCAGAAGATACTGCAGCAAGAATCAGAAAGGCAGTAAGTTACAGTGTTTCGAAAGAATGGGAAGATGTTTCGGTTTTCCTCAGCACAAAAGCTCTTGGTGGTGCTGCTCATCATGAGCAGTTTTCTTAAAAGCATTTTGATAACACAGGTAGGAAGGCAGCATGCTGACAGTACTGTGCTCTTCAGCTTTGTTATCTCGACATACATGATTCCAAACAAAATGATAGTCTTAAATCTCTCAAGAACCAGAAGTGTTGATGTCTGTGCAGACACTGGTGTAGAGAAGGCTGTGCTGTGAAGATGTAAAGAATGGCACTTGCATTTCAGAGAGCCTCTTCAGTAGCACATCAACAGGCCGAGTGTTGTATCAGGGAATTTAATTCCTGATACGTGGCCTCATCTTGGAAGTTGCTGATGGAACCTTATCATGTACGTTCAGATGATAGGACCTGTTGAAAGTTTTTTGGCATCTCGGGACTTAAAAATATTCCCCTATTTAGGGAAGTAAGCGTCTTCTACCAAGTACAGCCAACAATCAAAGGCTGAATGTCACAGCGCACTTAGAAAGCAGAATTTGGTGGAGAAATTACTAAAAAAGAAGTTACAGTCTCTTTATGATTTGTGTTATTGTTGTTAACGAGCAGCTGAAAAATGGAAGCTCTCCTGATGAAAGACTAGTCGCAAAATCAATTTTCTCTATGTTGCATCTCATCTGCAGTTAAAATGCAGACGAGTGTACGTGGAGGTTCTCAGTAATTGCCTGCATGTCCAAGGGACTCACTTTGTTTTAAGGCAAACTCCAGAGGAGATAAAGGCTTGTTACAGGCGTGTGTTGGCAATGTCTTTTGTTGGAAGTGGACAACAGTGTAAAGCAGTTCTCATTTCTAAGTGTTCAGTGGTGTAATTAGTTTTGCCTCGTTTCACTTTGCTGTGTGCACACGTACTGTATAGGGACGAAAGGGTTCGTTCTTTCTGTAGTCCTTTCATTTTGGGACGTTTCAGGAACATGCTGCCTGAATTTTCAGAGCCTTTAAAATGAAGATAAAGGTGGTTTGTGACTTGGACTTGGTGGTTACCTGAAAGAGTCACAAAAATGGTGGGGATTACTGCAATATTCTCATACGTGGTTTGGAGAAGGTGCAAGAGCTAAGGAGCAACTAGGATAACTGCTCTAGTTGTGACAATGATTAACCAGAATTTAGAAATTTACAAATGCTCTATTACTTATTTTGAAATTATCACAGTAAAAGTGAACCTGTCAAAAGCATAAAAAGTAAAATTTTACACTGAGTTTTTGTGTTTCTCCAGAGAAATACTTCTTGTGTTGTGTGATCTAAAAATATCTGTTACACAAATTGCAAATATCTTGCACCCAAGGAACAGCAGCTTTCCTGATAGTCTTACTGTTCTTTTTGGAAGGCCTTGTTGTGATGTATGTCTTCGTGCTTTTTTTTTTTTTTTTTGAAACACTCTCAGTTCAAGTAGTATGAATTGATAATAAACATTCTAACACTTACAGAGTAAGATCTGTCAGTTAATGTGGACCCAGATATTTTCATATTTATATACAGGCACCACATACAGACAAGATTTTTTTAATATATATAAATATATATAAATAGGATGGAAAAATAGTTCATGGGACTAATTTTTTTATTTTGGTTTTGATCACAGGTAGACGCTGCGAAGAAGCAATATAATGTGCAGATTTCTCGACTAACAGAAGAACTTTCAGCTCTTCAGATGGTATGGCATTAACTGATGCAAATATTTTTGATAGCCAAACATTTGAGACTTCCTAGTTTCTGTTGGTAAAGTAAAAGACTAATTCAGGTACAAGTCAGTCAAGTAAAACACAATTAATGGGTAATTGTCTAGGACGATGCTTTATTACTGACTAGCACTTTACAACCTGTCTGTCTCCAGACGTTAATGAAACGTAACGGTGCCTTTCCTGTTACTTGACCAAAGCAGCTCTGTGCAGTGTCTTAACAGTGCAGAGATTCCTGTCTAGGAGTAAAGGATGTTTGCTTTGAAAATTTGCTGTTGGATTTTTCAATGTGTAGCTTGGCCTTAGGTGCATACAGTCATATCTCACTTTCACTGAGAACTTGCCTGGCTCGGTGTGAAATTAGAATACATTTCTGCAAATGCGCCCGTTTCTTGGTGTAACTTTATTTCTTGCGTTACGTGCATTCTTACCGTAGTTCACAAGTATCTTGACAGTGAGATTCTGTGCTCTAGGAAATATTTCCCATGTGATGGCATTTCTTAAATATCCCTGTTTCTTTCAGGGCTAAATAAAGCATGGAAAGCTGAGTATTGCGTATCTCTAGTTGGGTGTGTAGAAATGCAGTACGTGAAAGTTGATCAAGTAAGCTAAGAGGGCATCCGTGCTTCATGATCACCATATTCTTGAATGAACCAGGAACTTGTTACAAGTTATGTGGGAGACTAAAAGAGCTCAGTGCATATGCACCCATTTATGGATTAAATATATTTTTTAAAGTTTTCATTTCTTAGTCTGTATTGTGAATGAGACTGGTCCTATAAAGTAATGAGTAGGTCAGTGTAATCAAATGCACATGTACCAGCATCAGGGATTACACTTACAGCAGCTGGTTTTGGGCTTTAGCACTTCTTGAATTTTTATTTTGAGGTATTTTTTATTAAATTTATTTTAAAATGGCTTTTAAAAATAGGAATGCGGAGACAAACAGGGTCAAATTGAACGAGCCATTAGAGAAAAGAGAGCAGTGGAAGAAGAACTCGAAAAGGTAAGGTGGTTGCATGCATTTTTGCATCACGTTTAAGATCGCTTTTCAGAAGGAAAAAATACATTGTTTTCCCATTTGTCATGGGTTTATTTCCCTTAATTTTCTAATTTTATATTTTCAGTAGATTTTTGTAATTGTAAGTTTTCATGTAATTCTTTCAAGCGTTGGGGTTTTTAATCCAGAAAGTGTTTTAGAGCTGTAATGCTAAACTGAAAAAGAGGGTTCTTTGAAAAGTGTGGAAAGTAAAAGGAGAGATATTTGACATAATCCGAAAGAATGTTGGTGCGTATTCCAGTTAAGCTTAGTAGACAGAAAACTAAATGAATGCTAGATCTTTGAAAACTTTTTTTTTCTAAGTAGTAGCAACAATGATAGAAATTGAGTTTAGTTCTAAATCACTGGAAGATATGGGGCAATGAGGAGCAAGTAGCCTCCTTGTCAGTCCTACACTGCCAGTCACCAGTGCAAGGGAAAGACAATCTTACATGTAAGCGTATTCTTCAGATGTACAGGGAAGACAGAGGACGTGAATCTGACAGTAGAAGACTAGAGCAACTGCATCATAAATATTTACTTGCGGAAACCGCAAAAGGTGACCTTCAGCTAAGTCTGCAGACCACAGAAAATAAACTGAAACAACTGGAAATGAAGTAAGTGATGGATGTTACAGAAACTAGAATGGAAAACAATGGAAATTATTTCTGACTAGGTAAATTGTTGATTATGTGTAAGGTTTTTGTTGCATCTCTTTAACCAGTAGCAGGAATAGTAACCGTAATTCTGATTATGAAGGATAATTATGAATCACTATAAAAGAATTAAAGGGAATAGCTTGCTATAGAATGCAAGATTTTCTTTACAAGATGAGAACTGCAAGCAGTTGTTTGACAAAGAAATTAAAATAGGAGTATATCATTTGTACTCTTACTGCTTTTTTAACTGCTGTTTGTAGAAAAAGTTACTCTGAAATATTTAGGCAAAATTTTGTAGATTTATCTACAGTGTGTTATCTCCTAGTACATGCAGAAGTGTGGTGACACAGCATACTGAATTTCAGGTCTGTGTTCAGAGCTAATAGACATAGTTGCAGTGCCGATAGTGCAGTGGTAAAAAGTACAAGATGGTATGTGTTTTTAGACCAGGTGATCGTTTTCAGCATGAAAAGTGTAGGATTCCTTAGAAGCTTCCATCACTTCTGTGGTCTGATTGTAAATGCTGTCAGTTCACCAACGCGATCCTTAGTTGGGAATCCGAGGAAATGTTTTAGAAGTGAAAATCTTCTGTTTCATGTTGTCATTTTACTGAGATAGCTACAATATTAGATGGGTTTTATGAATTCTGTCATCTTGATAACATTCTTTACTGCCTTGTGTGTAGTTTGAGCTGTCGAGCCCATTAAGTGTGCTGAGCTGATCCAAACTTTCAGCAAAAAACAGGCTAAGAGCTGTACTGGGTCAGACCAAAAGTCTGTCCCAAGATATTATTTTTTGTCTCTAGTATGGTAGCTGTTCAGCTTGAGTTCCAACAAGACTTTTTTATCCTTATTCAGCTCCGAGGAAGAGAAATCTCGTTGCCAGGAAGTTATCTGTAAATTGCAAAGCATTTTAGATTCAGAAAGAGAAAAGAGTGCCTTTGTGAGTGAACAAAGGCTAAAACTTCAGCAAGAGAATGACCAACTGCAAAAAGAAATGGAGGGCTTGAGAAGAGTGGCCGTAGAGGCTCAACAAAAAGCTAAGATAAAGGTACGGTTTATGTTATTTTTATTTTAATGCAAGACTGCTATTTGCTTAACAGGACGGCAACTCTAAGAGAAAATTCTTGGAAGTTTAAAGAAAGGATGAAAGTTTCAGTGATGTTTCCTGGTTTCTGCTGAAAAGTAGCATTGTGTGTCCTCAGAATTTATGGAGTAACTCAATCTCTGCTGATGAAATTGTAGTGATAAGATGATCTCAAGTGTACGGTGCTTCTTGTAAGATGAATGTATTAAATAATGACGTATTTTCCTTCAAGCAATTTCATGTATTCCAGATCCAGATTTCCGTTTATCTGCTGTCTGTAATGTGTCGGGAATCTCTCGGTGACTTTCAGTCCAGAATGTTCCTCTACTTGTGCATCCACCATGTTGTCAGAGCAGTGTGTAACTAAGAAATAATTTCACAGTGTGGGTGTCAAACATAGGTTCTGTATTTTCTGGACAGAGTGTTTCCTGTACGAATAGTTGCAGACAAGGAAACTAGCTGAAAGGTGGTGGTTCTTTTTGAACGTGTTCCACTAAATGCACCTGAGCAGGCAGCGGGTGGGATCACAAATTAATAGTAACCTCAGCAGATTCGTGGTGCCTTTGGCTGCTGGAGGGAGTCACAGCTTTGATCCTTGACGTGCTTTCTGAGCCTATAAAGCTGGTACTTCCCCTCTGCTCTTCATTCCTGGAGGGGTTAAGATACTGACAAGGGATCTAAGAATCTGCAGCAGGGAAGAAGGCTTCACTAAGCAGTCTTATGAATGGGCACCATGTTGAATCCAACTTCCGCTGCGCAACACCAGATGAAGGAAGCGGTCAGATTCAACAGGAAATCTTGTTCCAGCTCCAGAAGCCTTTGGTCAAATGTAGCTTAAAAACAAAGGATCGGGGTCTGTAACAGATGGGTAGAGGTTATAAAGCCTATACCTGATCTTTGTCTGTCTCGTTTTTAATCAAGCTTCCATTAGAGTCACAGATGAGATTCATGGCTTGCTTTCATTTTCCTCTGCTGTACCAAGGATTTTAGATGCAGTTAAACTCCTAACACATTTTAGCTAGATGAAAAAGAGCGAACGTGTTTCTTTGGAGAAGACAGAAGGGGGAAGGATAAAGATTCTTCACAAAAATAAGCATACACAGCTCATTATCCTTCATTGTCAGTTGTACTATTTGCTTAAATTGGCTTTGGGAACATGCATCTCTTGGAGCATATAATTACCAGTTTAATTATTGTATGTTACATGCTTTCCACAAATGTTTATAAATTTAACTCAAGTGTTGTAAAACAAAAAGAAGAAAGAAGTGAGAGACTTCATTGTGCCCGGTTTGTATTTTTTCCTAGATAAGCACACTGGAGCATGAGCATGCTGTGAAAGAACAGGGATATGAAGTTCGACTTCAGGAAATGGAAGACACCAGTCAAAAGTCTACCGCTGAACTTAGACGTCTGTTAGTAGCTCAGCAGAAAGCAACAAACAGGTGGAAAGAAGAAACTAAAACTCTTACTGAAACTACAGAAGCCAGGATCAGTAAGCTGAAGTAAGTGCCATTTTGTTCCTCCTCTGGAAGCTGTTACCATTTGAGTTACTGTCTGATGTATGGCAATAGGCCTGTGGTGAAAAACGGTGAAGAGCAAAAGGTCCAGACTAGATGATGTGCTTCCAGCAAAGCAAGAAAGTGTTCTGAAGAGAACTTTTGGTGCTCTTTGTGAAGTTAGCACTGAAGTAAAAAATTCGCGTCTTGTTGATGTGTGGGATTTTTTTTTGTAATGACAAAAAGTGAACGGACTATATTACTTTTAGCTTTCTCTTTCAAGACACAGCTTGTTCAGTTTAGAGGATTTTAGCTTTGGATTATGATAATCTCTATAGCGGTCCAGAGCTGCCACTATAAAATCAGTTGTGGAGTGAGCATTCAGACTTCGAGAATAAGCTGGAAAAAACCCCATGGGACGCACGAGTAATGTTATCTTTTGAGCAGTTGCTGTCATAAATGAGGATACAAACAGTTTGTGTGATTGCCCTAAGCAAAAATACGGTAGAAACTTTTACTTTTTTCCTGATTCGTACGGGTTGCCAGGTAACTGCCTGATAGTTGTATTCCTGGCACAGAATTCCGTTTCGAAAGGGCATAATGACAAGGGCATCTCCTGCAACAGGCACGGATGCAGGCTGTGTGTCATTCCTAGGTGCTGGGACATACGAGTACCTATGGTGCCTGCCAGCCTGTATACAGAGAGGCAGCCAGTGGTTTAGAGAAGGCAGTGGCATTACTGGAGATGAGTGAGTAGAGTGGGAAGTATCCCAGTGAGAAACTGGCCATTTGCAAGTTACGTCTGAAGTCAAGTTCTATGAATTTATCTTTATTTTAAATGCATGCTGCTGTAGCTAGTGTTGGTTTCAACTCAGATGTTAAAAATGTTAAGAATCCACACGACCAGTTCATGACATAAGCAGACGGCATCCACACTCATCTTCGTTTTCCTTCTCGGTGTGTGGAGCCATTGCACAGTGTTAAAACGTAAGGAGTTGATCTGTACACAGGGGATTTGTAGTGTCTTTCCTCTTCTGGTATGGCCTGCCTCCGCTTCCTTGCCTGTCTGGTGTTCGGCTGGCAAGTAGGGGCCAGCCTGTGGCTAGCTGCAAGCTGACACCCACACAGAGTCACTCTGGTAGCCAGCTAGCTGGTGCTTGTAGGTGGCCAAGTCTTAAATAGGCTTTCTCTCAGCAGAGGCAAAGGTATATGCTTGCCTCGTGTTTTGTTTGATTTCTAAGCTCAGGAAACTATCAGTTAGATCAAGTAGGAAGTAAATTAGAGATTACATTAGCTGATATTTTTATAGAACTTCTTAGAAGTTTATGTCCTCAAGATCTCTTCCTCTTCAAAATTGGCTGAGAATTGGAGGAGATTGACAGACTGGTAGCCAGTAACTTCTAAACTAGGAAGCCTGAGTTCCTAAGTCTCATTTCTTTGAAACTCAGAGAATCGGAGAATGTCAGGGGCTGGAGGGGACCTTGAAGGACCATCCAGTCCAACCCCCCTGCCAGAGCAGGACCACCCAGAGCAGGTCACACAGGAACGCATCCAGGCGGGTTTTGAATGTCTCCAGAGAAGGAGACTCCACCACCTCTCTGGGCAGCCTGTGCCAGGGCTCTGCCACTCTCACACGGAAAAAGTTTTTCCTTAAGTTGATGTGGAAAATTAAAAAATTAAAATTAAGTTAAATTAAAATGGTTAGAGAAGAATGTAACATTGCGTATATCACTGTCTTTCAGGACGTGCATTTGGTGGTTTTTAGAAGGGAAATCCAGCTGTGCAGCTCTATTAATTTGAGACATTTGAAATGACCCTTTAACTTCAGTCACTTAAAGCACAGGATGCACTCGTGTGTAGTTCTTTGTTCAGGCTGACTTTAGAAGTTTTTTACTATCATGCTAACAAGGAAGCAAAGCTTTGGCCGTATTAAAATTGGAAGCCTATGAATTTTATTTCCTTTGGAGTAATCTTTTGGATTTTGCATGGTTTATTATTTTAATGGTTTACACACTCTCAGCTTGAACCATATTTCCAGTATCGTATGCAATTTTTGGAGTCACAGTTTTTTAGGCATAGCTTGACACTTCATAACTGTCCAAATGCCAATGATGTGAGTGGAATTAGAACCCAATTTTCTAAACATGAGCCAGGAAAGTAACTTCCTGAATAAGCTGCCTACAACAAAGCTCCTGTACCACTACTCTTAACGTGGTTTTCCATCTGTTTTAGAGAAGGATGGGAATTGGACCTCCAGCGAACTGCGCAAATAGCAGTCTTGTATGTAGCTTGAAACTAGTTTCATTCCCCTTTAAAGTGTCTGTCCTGAGGAGTTGTACCTGTTGTCTGTCCAAATAGAGGAATGCTGTGAGATCCATCCTGCTTGAAATACTGCAAGGAGTGGTAGAACATTTATTGATGACCTTTCTGTTTAATCAGCAGCTTCACTGATCTGCTTTTCATTTTTCAAGTGCTCCTTTTCTGAGTCTTTAGAACACTTTGTAGTAGTAGTGGATTGTTACCTCTGATGACTAGTTCGGTTTAATTTTTTTTTTTTGCAAAGATGACTAAGCAGTTCTCTAAAAAGGCAAAAAGTCTCTTTCGGAAGCAATCACAGCGTTGAGCTCATCTGCGAGCGGCTGGGAGCTGTGCTTACTGTTGGTTTTAGTGGCCTAGCTCCCCTGTATGTAACTAGCTGGGTCTTGCTAAGGCTTTTTTGACGTCTTTCACCAATGCAGTAACTAGAGAAGAAAAATATTTTTAGTGTTTCATGCTAAGGTAGATTTTAGCTGTTAACTTGTAGTTTATTTTCTGTAAATGGAACTACAAAAACTCCCACAGTTGAGCATTTAGGTTTATAACTAGGTCCTGAATGTAGTTCAGCAGCTTCCAGTTGAAAGGGAAGAAGTGCAGACTTCCCAGACAATTGAAGTTGTCTGCAAAACTGCTATATTCCTTCTGAAAGCCTTAATGTAAAGTGTTAAAATGGTGTTACAGCGGACCAAAAGCGTTCGACCTTATTCATCTGCAGGAAAACGCTGACCTAGAAAATATAACAGACGCGAGAGGCAGTCTGCTTTGTGAATCTGCATGGAAAATAGGTGGGAGATTTTGAAAATGTCCCTGTTGATGTGAGAGACTGTCTGTGTGTTGTCATCTGGAAAGCCCCTGCCATGGTTTAACATCCTGTATCGGAGAACGCTGCCTGATGAGTAGAGTAGAAAAAAACGTTCCTCACATATTAAAAACTTTGTCTGCACCAAGTCCGCCTGATTCTCTGTGACTTGAGTAGATATTTTGGTGCAGGTCTAAAAGTTAAGTCAGTCACTCTTGAAGATGTTTTGGTAGGTGGGGCTTTTCCATACTGTCCAGGCTAGAAGCAGAAGTTTTTATCAGGCCTCTGCTGTACCTGACAAGGAAACTGGCGAAAGAAACAAGTTTTTTTTTCTCTGCCAGAAGGTTGTAACTTAAACTGACAAAAGGAATTTTGTCACTAAATATGTGCGGTGGCGCTCTGGTATTGCAGCGACAAGTGGCTATAACAGAACCTAGGAGTGTTGTGTAGAACATGCAATACCCACTTACTGTTCATGTTGTATGCATGACCAGGTACCTGATTATATAGCGCGGAGTGCAGTTGGTATGAGAGTTACCTTCTGAGTTACACAGTAGTAGTTAGTCAATGCAAAGTACTTGCTCATGTTATAGATGAGTAATTGTAATATTTAATCTTATCACGATAGCATTTTGAGTGCCAGTACAGAAAGGCAAATCACTTCTTACTTGGCTGTGAACTAAAAAAAAAACTTCTGATGATTTAAAAAGCAAAAAATTTTGCAGCAAACGCATTTATCACAGGAATACCAGCAAGCCTGCTAAATAATAGACTGGTACGATTGAATTAAAGGCTGGGTTTGACCGTCCTCTTGAGGCTGAAGCAGGCAATGGTATCGCCAAGCCTATAGTGGGGGCTAAGTGAGAGGTGATGTTCACCCAGCTTTCCTGTGTACATGTGGTTTTAAGTTTATGTGGTTTTGAGAGGGTTAGTTAAGCTGTGAGCTTGTAAGCAGAACTTGGTATCTTACTTAGAAACTTTGTCTTGGCTGGACAAGGCTGTGAACTCAGATGAAGGTATCATATAGCCTTTTGGGGTTAAAATAGAGCTCTCCAAGGTTAGCAGCACGTCATGGTAATTTTAGTGTATTTTGAGGACAGTCTGAGATATTCCTCGGCACTTCATGAAGTTACTGTTTGGCTCATATAAATAGATGAGCAAATACAGAGGTTGTGTCGGTGACGCGGAGCAGAACGTAAGTTTTTAATAGGAATTATTACTCTTACAGCACAGTAATGTGCTTTATAAGTGAATGTAGGGAAGTTTATAGCTTCCTGAAAAAGTCATATCCATGTGTACTGGGAGGTGGCTTACACTTTATATTGCATTTCACCAGAAGTTTGCTGTTAGTGCTGCGCTCATAAGCATTGAGTCAAGGTCCTGTTTGTTAGTGTAGGTGTTTCCCGTTCCTTTGCCTTCAATTCATGATCTGTTGCTGTTTTTCAGTCCTGTCCTCATTACTTTCCATTTCCCATATGAAGGTGTCTGAAACATTTTGGCTTCTTTAACTTCCCAGCAGCAGCAGCTAACTTTGCCATGTTCCGTGCGGCTCATTTGTCATCTTTCAGTTCTGCAGTGGTTGGTTTGTGAGGTGTAACCCATACGCGTAAAGAAAACATTGAATAAATACTTTTAAGAAATGAAGGAACATCAGTGAATGTTAAGTGATGAATTTTTTTTTTTATTTTAAAAAAATCTAAGTAGGAAAAGTACGTTTTGCAGCCTGTAACAGTAGAGCAGAGTGATTTCAAAATCACATGAGTCCAGTAGATTAGGGAAAAACCTGTAGACAAAAATGTGGATAAATGGATACTTGCAGGCTTCACTGAGAATTATTCTGTGTTTTCTTGGACGCTTGGGTCTCAGTTCAAGTTAAACATGTAACCATTGCCTATTAAACTGGAATTTAAAAAACAATGCTGAAGAAGTAGGGAATGCATTGAATTCTTGCAGACTAATTGCCGTTTTCTTCATAAAAATACATTACGGTCTGCATTTCTGAGCAGAGTTCTCTTCCCTCTAAGCATCATAAGATGCTGTAGACTTCTAGAAGGATTTATTGGTAACTGACCTCACCTTTGCCTCGTAAGAGGGCAAGGAACCAGTTTGGCTTCAATATACTTGCGCCAAAAACCAGTCTTGGAGGTAGCTGAGAGGGTCAGTGCTGCCTGCAATGTAGGTCGTGGTCCCAAATGAAACCTTCGCCGTTGGCAGCGTGACTAACGGCGCGTGACTAGTGCTAGCCTCTTTATTCCTGCAAAACCCCCAGCCTGGCAGACTATGAAGCCAAGCAGTTCTGATTGCGGATTGCATCCGTTTTAGATGTACTTTGAGGTCTAATGACATCTGCTGTAGTGAACTTGGACGGCAAATAGTTACAATTACAGACTAGTTATGCAAAGGAATGATTAGTTAAAGGTTGTAAAGAAGCAGTGTAGCACTCAAATTTATTGAAAGATGAGTTGTCCCAAGGCTTTCCTATTGAATTTAGGTTGTTTCTTTCTCTAAGAATGCATGTGTATGTAAAAAATTAATTTAATCTCTATCTGTTCTATGTGTTCATAAATGCATATTAAAAACTCCCACCCTCAGGTGAAATTTGCAGGAAAACTACATGAAATTGAGGGTTCTCTCAGCTTTGCTGTGAATGTGACTTTGGCCTGTGAGGCAGGTGGGTGGTTGCTCAGCTGAGGTACAGCTTAGCCTGAGAAGGGGTAGTAATAATTCCTAAACAATTAGGAATAGAAACCGAGTCTACAAAACAAATGGCACATGAGACAATTCATAAACGTTGGCTTGAAGAGGACAAGTACTTTAGAAGTTACTTCCAAGTAACAATGCGTTTAAGAGCTTTAAAAATCTTAACTCTTTTAGAAGTTACTTCCAAGTAACAATGCGTTTGAAGAGCTTTAAAAATCTTAACTCTTTATTAATCTACCAATTTACTCATCCTATGTACTAGTACTAAATTGTCTTCTTTTTTATTAATCTTAAGAATGTGCCACTACTGTCTAGCAGTAAGATGTAACTTTTGTGGGGGAAAAATCAAAAATATTTGCTGTAACAGGAACACATTATATCTGAACAACTGTACTGAATGGCGTCATCTTTTTAATATTCACTAGAGTTATAATTGTCAGTACTTATAAAAAAGGGAATCCTTGCCATATTGTTTTTAAATTTAAGTACTTTGCTTAGCTTAAGTCATCTGATTGCAGCTATTTTTGGGTGCATTTGTTCCAGTTTCTGCTTCTGAAACACTTCTGTGGCATAGAGTCCCTGACTCCTCAGTAGCCATGTGTGGTTTCTGGAATTCTCAGTTTTATCTCTTCTGTAATTGAAAAGAATCTGCCTTTTGAGGAATGACCTTTTTCGGTGCCTGTCTGTGAAGTGTTGGCCAGGACTGCTGGCTTCTCCTTCTGCCTACATCCTGTGCAAAAATCACAGCATCTTGAGATGAAGAAGATTCCTCCATTTCTGAAACATTATTCTTGGCTGCACTTCTGCAATGTTTGGCAGCCATAGCTGCTTATTTTAAGATGTTCATTAAAGAAAAAAATTAACAGAATGAGAGACAGCTGCAGGTACTGGCAGTATACAAAATTCATAATTACTAAGAGTAACTGAAGCATATTATAGTATAATTCAACTGAAAAAACAGCTGGCACGTGCTATATTTGTCATAGGAGAGCTTTGCAGAACGGACTTGCTACAGCTGGCGGATTTATCACCCGTCTGCCGACATGCTAAAAGCTCACCTTTTCTTGCCTGCTCGCTTAACGAAGGCAGTATGGAGTAGGGACTGATTTGGTTATTCAGCAGTTGGGGTTACTGCTCCCTTCTAATATTGAAATCTCATCATGTGCGTTTGAGGGAGGGTTAACCATCAGAATGAAGCCACCCCATTTCCTTAGGCTTACAAGGTTAAACTGTTTTCTTTAAGTATGTGTTCAGTGTGACCTAATTATAAAAATAATGTCTTGATACACGGCTGTACGTGAGGATGTAAACTCTGTTTATGGCCTGTGCTGCTAATGTCACACCTGAGTACAAGTGCAGGGGACAGATTGTTTTCAGTAACCAGGAATTTTTAATTTAGAAAATTAATCTGTTTGGATAGTCTTCTAAGGTGACGTAACAATAAAGATGACTTGTTAGAGTTTAAGAATTTCCTTATTTTCAAAGCCTTTTTTTACTAGTGCAGTTAAACTTGAACATAAGCAGTCTGCACATCATAAGGAGTAGTGCTTGAATAGTTTTCTAGGGAGTTTAATTTGAAAAGGTATGTACGAAAAGATATGACAGGAATTGTATAAAATTTATGATTTGCTAACAAAACAGTTTATAAAAACTGAACTTTCAGAAAACAGCTGTTTATTAGGGCTCCTATATTGAAAACAATTCATCTTGATGATTGATACTGATTACAGAGGACAAATTGCAGTAACAGCGTTCCGTATTAACATGCTGTCTTGGTCCTGCAACTTGAATCCACCTTTAATTCTTCTTTTATATAAAAATGTTCACATGTGGTAACACAGGTATAATGTGTTATTTTATATATATAAAACATAATTTAAATGTCTGCCTATGTACTCTCATTTTTAGAGTCAAAAGATGTTGAACTGTTTCTGTGATAATCTGCCTGGGATTGGTTAAAGGGGCTGGTGGAAAAGCAGGGCTGGAACCCACCGGGCAGGTATACTCGCAGCCTTGCGTTAACAGCTGTATCGCAACCTTGTGGTTCCAGTGCCATGTAATAGTTTTCAGTCGAACTTTGAAATGCTAAGTTTAAAAGTTTTTAAGAGTAAGTTCTTGTTCAGAACTACACGGCCTCATGAAAATAGCAGAGGCTTTTTAGGATGGAGAGCTGAGGTTCAGGTACCTCCTACCGTGCCTCCATTCCCCCAGAAGGAGTAAAGGCTTCAGGTTCCTTCGCCGTGAGTGCAGCTTCAGGAGCAGGCAGAGCACCTGAAGGTTGGGTATCACCTTTCCGAGCGTTGGCAGCGTGCTATGTGTTCGTGCAGGTGATTGCATTTTGGCATACTTTCGACTTGGGAAAGGAAGGTAAAGCAAGAGTAGATTTCAAAATTCTTCTTCACAAATAATGTTTGAACCTCGGCGTAGAAGGTGAAAATGGTAGCGGGAATCTTGGTCGCACCATTTTTTTTTGTGATGGCCATTGCTAGTGGAGAAGAGGCTGGTCAGAGGCAAGAGAGGCCGTTGGGTTCTGCAGCTTTCCCTGGCTGCGGTTAGCAAAGCTCAGCGAGGTTTCCATCTTTGGTCGTTGCCCCTCCTCAGAGCCTTGTGAGGACAGAAGGCCAGAACTGTTTCCTTTCAGCACAAACTCGGAGGTGTCTACCATAACCCAGATATTGTTGTTGTCTTCAGTACCACACACATTCAGGATCAGTAGAACTCGCTCAAGTATACAGCTAAAAAGGCCACGAAGGAGAAGGTGACGTTTCCCTTTTCCTCAGGAAGCCTTACATTGTTGTGTGTCTCACCAGTATGGAATGATTGCAGTACTTCAAAGCACCTTCAAAAATGTCCACATTGAAGTCTGCTTATGGGACAGGAATTAGAATGTTAATTTAAAAAATGTATGCACTGTGCACATGCAGCTTAGATTTATAGCATATTTGATGACATTCCTGCAAAATAAGATGCAGTAAACAGGAAAAAAAAACCAACCTAAACCATCAAATGCTCTCGACAAAGTCCAGTTGATTTGAACAAATACTCCTCACTCCTCTGCTGTTAGTGTCGAATACACGAAGAAGCACTAGCTGTGTAGTGCTCTGGAAATCAGTGTTTTAAGAGCAATGCCACAACTGGAAATACCCCGTAAGCCCCTACAATGCCAGGCAGCACCCATGAGGTTATGTTCCAGTGACTGCACTACTGTGTGTTAAGCAGCATCTTTTCTTCTGATTAACAGAAGTGAGCTGAGTCAACAAAAGCTGCGTAGCCAGGAGCTCATTTCTCGGCTGGAAATGGCAAATGACAAGGTCACTGAGGTAAGCTAATGACTGATAGGACAACTACTTTCCGTCTACTAGGATCTTAATGGGAATCTATTTAGGTGAGTTATGGTGCTGCTTTAGAAAAAATTAAGTATTTTTGACAGATGTAGTTGTAACAGGAAGGCCCCACTGTTCCTGCGGACTGCCGTGTCCAGGCAGCAGGCAGACAAATGAACTTCGCTCCCAAAATGACAAGAAAAGGTGAAGGAGAGCCCGTCTTTCAAGGGTACTAATCCAGCCATCTGGGTCAATTCAGGAAGCGTCTCTGAAGTCACTTGGGCCTGTGTGTGCACGCACACCTCCAGAAAGGAGTAGGTGCTGGGTTGTGGATGACGTAGCGTACACAGAGAGACCCATTTCTCAGCGCACTGTGTGTGTAGTAAACTTACACGATGTGTGTGTGTGTGTACGCACCTAGATAAAAGTGTTACCCGTTAAGGAGAAGGACAGGGTGGCTTTGGTTCTTGGTGCTGGTCAGTAGTGAGCGGCCCCTTTAGAGACAGCTGTCCCGTCAGCCTCCTCAGTCTGGGGTAACATCCCGTTCTTCTGGGCTAAGCCCTTCTGCGTTGCGTTTTGTGGGGCTGTGTTATGTGGAGGAGAAAACAGGGCTGATGGGGGAAGAGGTTTCTAAGTAGAGGATGGTTAAGACAGACTTTATACAGATCCTTTGAAGGAAACAGAAAAGGTGTGTAGCAGGTTTATCATCTCATTTCTGTTACCTAGTATATGCTTTTTCTGTTGGAGTACAGCTAGAACATGTGCGCTGTAAGACTGTGTGAATTAAATTACCAGGATTGAAATGCCAGCTTTCGTGCATCTTAAAGATGCTGAAATGTGTAAACCTTCCTCTGCAGATTACTGTGACTGGAAGAGTCAGATGATGTCATGTTTGAGCGGGAACTTCTCTATAATGTGTCAGCAGTAGGTCTCCAGTCTTGCTGTAAGCGCTAAACAGTGCTGCTGTTGAAGTTCCTCTTGGTTTAAGCTTTTTTGCTACTGTACGTATGGATCCAGTTAAAAGAAATTTGCCTTCATAATGAGGTATTTCGTTCACACAGGATGAAAAATTAATGATGGAATATCGAGAATACATCAACAGGCTTCAAAGGCGGCTGAGCCAGGCGGAGCAGCGGGCAGCTACAGCAGCTCAAAAGGTACAGAACTGACAAAACCCATGTTACCTCAGTGCGCTGAAAATCCCACTGAATATTAAAACCAAAAATACTCACTTCGTATCACTCCTGAGGCAGAGGTGATCGTTTATGCGCATGATTACTAATACAATTTTAACAACAAGCTTGTGTTTTGGGTGTGCGAGCACAAAACTGATGCATAGTCAATGAAATGCCGCCTTCTGACAGGCCGCTTAAGTGACAGTATAGATTTGTTTATGGGATCAAATTTGATGCAAATTGAACTTGATTAATTAAAGTTAAAATTTGATGCGGGTCACTATGTGTGAACAAAGGTGTTGGATCATTACACTCTTCAGAAATAACAAAGAGGGGGGAAAAAAACCCCTCCTTCCGTAACTCCTGTGTACACGAGGCAGGGATTTGTAGCTCGGTGTGACCTACTGCAGCAGTCACGGACGATGGCTGCGCGTGGTAGAGACCAGATGTTGGGCCCGTCCCTACGCCTGTCTCCTGGGCAGTCTGGTTAAAACAAGGCATGCCCCGAGTTGTCCTGGTGAACCTGCCTTTGGAACAACCGCTAGGAGCAGAGCGGCTTCGCGGGAATGCTGGGGGGGCTTTCCGCCCAGGAGGTTCCCTGGTGGAATTTGGGGTGTGTGGCTGCACAGGGAGCTGGGGGAAGTGGTGTGGATGCAGGACAGAACTCGTAGTGTCGACCTGTTTCATGTTCATCAAATTTCCCTACCTCCTGCCATGGCAGGTGACCTCCCAGAGCTGTTAACTCCTTGCCTGCCCACCCGCAGGAGCTGCATCCCCAAAGGTTGTTGGAGAGCTGTGCCCTGCTGCAGTTATGTGTAGCAGACGCAGTAGGTCCTGCAGCGTCACAAATACTGTCAGTTGTGCAGACGGACTAGGAAACACCTGGGTTTTTCCAGGCCATGGGAAGGGGGGAAGGACGGGATGGTGTCTGTAGCTCACTGCCCTGTGAAGGTACCTAGTATGTGCTCAGCGGTTCTGAAAGCTTCAGCCACGGTGTGTCTGTCAGAGGGGTTGACATGCCCCAGGCCTCCTTGTGCCCTGCTGTGATCACCTAGCGAGCTGAACTGCTGCTGTCGCCTTTCCCCTTCTCTTACACCTCCGCTCCAGCTTTGAGCAGTGCTGGTCGGTACTTCTGGATGTTGGGGATGTTGGGAGGAAACGTTTTCTTCTCTTCAGAGAGAAACGTCAGGCTTTGAGCTAAACCCTGTGCTACCCGTAATTCTGTATTTTCTCTGCTGGACAGTAGGGGTTGGGTTTTCCACCCAGCGTTCCTTTTACCATACTATTCAAGCTGTACATCTTGAAGCAAACCCCCTTGGGGGGGTTTGTACACTGAGTTCATTTATTTGCCAAGCAAAATGGTCTCCCATTAAGTAAAATTGGTCTTCCTGCCTCCTCTTTTTTCACAGTGATTTAGGAAACCCATTTGCAAACTACAGCCTTTTAGTGCGGGTGATCCCCTGTGAGTTGCAGCGAGGAAACGTTTGGTTGAGCTAAACTGTCCAGTCAGGACAAAGGGCGCTTTTCCCAATAGCAGTGAAAAACCGGGCAGCACTGCCCTAACATCAGCTGTGTTTCCTGGCGGTAAATGCTCTCCTCAGGATGAGGTCTGCCCGGCTGGTGAAGATCTGCTCTGCAGAGTGATTTAGGTTGGGTTTAGCTCCTGGTTGTTGTAGGGGTCTGCTCAGCTCTAATCCTTCTGAGGTGCATCTGCCCTTAAACATGGTCAGGTCACCTTTCAAGGGAGTAAATCGGTGGCCTCAGTGCCCAGGTAGGAAGAGGTCTTGCTGTTCCTGAAAGCATTGATAATTAACTGTTTCTCACCAGTCCTCCTCCAAAAGGTAACAAAGATCTGATGTTTAGCAGCTAAATTGTGGTCCAGATCTTACCGCCACTCTCCAGGACTGCCTTCCCCTCCTCAAGCTGGGCAGAGGCTACTGCTGCCACCTGTCAGGCACGGCCGCTTTGTAGTGAAGCGACAACTTCTGCGCCAAGCCCCTTCCTCTCCCTCCCTCCCCACCCCCCCAAAAAAGGACGTAGCAGCCATGTTCCCACTAAAGGCTGGAAAAAGCGGCCCGCAGGAGTGCTGCTGCAAGAACCTCCGCTCTTCTGAATCTGAAGCAGCGAGGTGTATGTGCTCTCCGAGCTCTCGGGAGACTGAAGGGTGCTGTGTGTGCTTCCCCAGATTCAGAATGGTAACTGCTCCGTGGTCTGGGTCTGTAGGCTGAGGGCTGCCTTCTCCCTTGACTTCACTGGGTATTCTCATGACATTGTCCAGCTACCTTGTAAAATTAAATCCGGTATAGGCTAGAGCTGGACTGTTAGGGAGTCTAGGAATTACTTTTTATTGTGGTTAGTTTAATGACTATAAATCTTAGCCTATTATCAAATAACAGTAATTAATTCAGAAACATAAAAAATGAGCTAATGTTCACACAGGTTTAAAACGTGTGTATTCTATGTAGATGTCTTTAAAGTGTGCTCCTGCTACCTAATCTTTCCTCATCTTGACCTCTATGGGATCTGGAATAAGACAAAAGCATTACTCATTCATAGTGCACCGATAAATTCTACCATTTACCCCAAATTCCTCCTTGTTCCCTCTCCTTCATGACACTTTCCCTATTGAATGTCTACAGATACTCTGATCTCGTCAAACAATACCTGAGGAACTATCTGTTCTTAATTGCAGCTCAGCCTGATAACTACACGGAAGAAAAAAGCTGCTTCCCTGAAGGAGCTGGAAAGTATCTAAGGATGTGTATTGTTCATTGACGTGGTGCTGGAGTTCAGAAGGTCGCTGGAGGAACTTCACCTTGAAGTGTTAAAGGCAAATGCAGAGCAAGGCCTGTACAACTTAGCTAAACATTTCCTGGTTTAGCCAGGTAAGGAGGGGGATGGATGAAATATATCGGTATGCATAGGAAGGACTGGAGGAGGACTGCCGAATGTTGTAATTAGAAGTCCTTTGACCCAGCAGATGAACAGATCCGATACAGTGCTGGGGCACATTGGTCTTTCCTGGCCTAAAAAAACCACCAGTGCCAACTATGACACGACTGTGTCCTGGGAACAGCTACATTATAGTGATGTCATGAACAGCTTCGCTCACACACAGTCGATTCCGTTAATTTTTCTTTGTAGAGCAGGAACTTGGGAATATGTTGAAGATCTTTTATGAATGGTAGTAAGACACTAATTACGTCATGAATGTCAAGTAGTTGCTGGTTTTATGGTAGGCATTATAGCTGTAAAATGCCTCCCTTGCCTTCTGGTTTTAAGAATTTGGTTCGGTTTGTTCTGGTACAACCCTGGGGCAACAGTTAATAAATAAAATGCTGCTATGGCCGTTCATACAGCTCGTTTCTAAGGACTGTAATCTTTCATCAGTTGTGCTTGGTCTTCCTAATTACTATTTCACAATTGCTCCTTGCTGTTCTGTGGATCTGCTGTCTTGGCCTGGGTGTGTCTGGGAGCTACAGTTCTCCATTTGCACACAGCAGGCGGAGGTGTCCAGCCCTCCAGCTCTTCCACACTTCGGAATAGCGCAGCTGAACTCGGCACATGCCTGCGTGTGGGAATCTGGTGTGCACGTTTGGGGGTTTGGTTGTTTTTGATAGTTGAGGAACTTCTTCCCATGTGTCACTTTAAAATGAGAGCTGAACTTCTGTGTGTATTGTAAACATTTGACGGGTGTTAACTGGCTTTGAAGTGCTCCCATCTTGGACTTCAGGGACATGATTTCTTGACCTTCCTCTTAAATGTGAGGAGTACAGTTCTGGTCCGTAACTTCTGATTCAGTTGATGGATAATGCTTACCTTGTGCTTGGTTGAAACTGCTGTTCTGGGCTCACCAACCTGTACGTCTGTCGCAATGGATCTTCAGCACATTTGCATTTTAGAGGACAGAGCTGGGCTGCTCACCATGTGGGAGTAAGAGTTTGTGCCACCTCCTGAAAATCTGGCTCTTCAGGCAGAGCCTGCAAGGGAGATGCAGCCTCAGGAAGAATTTCTGCTTCCCCCCGAGGAAGTTGCTATTCCCAATACCCTTCTTGATGAGAGCTACCTCAGCTGGATGTGTGCCTGTGGAGCTCATCTTGCTAAAAGACTTCAAAGATTTTTCCAAAGCAATGTGGATACGGTGTCCAGCAGCTCCAAACGTCTGCTGCAGTGAGATGTTCATCAATCAACCACGTATACGCTACAGAGGGAGGTAAGTACCGAGTGCCTTATTGTCATTTGCATGACGCGCAGCCGAGAGGGTGACAGGCCACCTGGAAGATTTCATCTGAGCTACTGATCCCACTCTCACACCTTGAAGAGAGGCTCTGCCTGCAAAGTGCAACCTGGCTGGAAGGGGCAGGGAGTCTTTGAGCAGCAGCATTTGTGCCTTTGTTCCTCCAGGCACAGCTGGGCCCCTGCTGGGTTCCCTTGTCAGTGTGGGCACGTCCTGTTCAGCTTGTGCTGTGGCTCCCCTCTAAGGGTTATCTGTAGTGATGACACAAAGTTATGGGGCTGCAGAGCCCTTAGGGCAGATGACACAAGAAAGAAAAAGGTTTCCTGCCTGGCTGCCTGATCCCTGGGGCAGCTAAACACTGACCAAACAAGTGGGAATGTGGTCAGGTGAAGCTCCTCATCTTACCCCCACCTCCTTCCTCTTCCCTTCGGTGTCTAGAGGAGGCTGCGGGCGTGTTGCACGCAAGGTGGACTTTTGGAGGAACAGCATGTGTCGAGGCAGCTAAAACTCAAGGCTTGCTGGGTAGAGAAGTTCTGGTTTTTCCTTCACGATACAAGCTTGCTCATGGAACGGAGCAGCGTGCTTTTCAGGCGGCTGGCTAGGTGGTCTGATGTTCGTTTGTATTTATGTATTTCTGGTCACTCTTCTATGGAATGGGTTTGGTCTCCTTTTCCCCCCCCAGCAGTTTGAGTGTTTTAAGGATTCCCTAATGGTTTACCCACTGCCATTTTCAACATGTATTGCTAGACACGTGCCTTCACAGCCTTGTCCTTGCCGTGCTCCCACAACTTGAGCTTAGAGGCAACAGGAGGAAAGGAGCTCCTGTGCCCTTCACACCTTGTCTGCTCGAGATCCTGCTGTAGCAGCAACGGTCTTCTGTCAGCGGTGCTTGACACAGTGCGCGGGTACGTCCCAATCTTGAGGGTCTACAGGCGAGAACCCTCACCTTCCTCTTCCAGCAGAGCACGTGTGAAGGTCATGGACTTTGGAAGGACATCCTTGATCAGGAGATGGAAACCATCTCAGGTAAGCGACATCTCTTTGAGGACCTCAAGGAGGAACGTACCATTTTCTGCTGTGGGATAAGCACAGCTGTCAGTAACCAGACCCTGTACTATTGCTAAAAAATAAAGAACAAATCCCCTAGTCTTTCTCTGGCAACTGCAGGGTGCATTTTGATACCGGTGACAATCCCAATTAAATGCTCATTTTAACCGTGGGAGTTGATCAGATCATTGCAGTGAGGTGTTGATGTAAAAACCCAAATGAAACAACTACTGCAAATTCTAAAACACTGCTGGCAAGGATACTGCAAAAATGTACAGCATTTATTCACATACAGACGAAAAGGCACAATTCTACTGAATATTTTAACAAAAAATACAGCTGTCTTCAACTAGGTCTTTATAAATACTTCAAAAAAGGGAGAAAATAAATACAGGATTGGGCCATGTAATATAAAATAGTCATCTCTACATATACTTTTTATTTCTATCTGTTTCTCTTCATGCACCTTTTTTAATTAATTTCAGCTGAATGGACACCAAAGCTAGGCACATAGTGAAGAATCTTCTGTACAAGGTTTTACAAATGTAATGACAATTTTCTCCAATTTCTGAAATTTTTTATACAGAACACGTACGACCCTTCGTTCAGCTTCGTCTGAGTTCACAACCTAACAAACAGCATTCGAGGCAACCTGCCGGACGTTCAGCTCGCCTACGGTTTGACAGACCACACCAGCCATCGCCAGCCATCTCCCGGACAGCCCGCACCAGGGGAGGGGACGCCTGAAAACAGGAATTTGGAATATCCCAGTGGAATACAGGGGCGGGTTGGCATCGTCACTGCCAGACTGGCACCACCTCTTCTGCCGAGCGCGAAGCACAGAGACGAACCCACCCTCCCAAGCTGGCCAGGCTGCCGCCAGCTCGTGGCTTCGTGGTGTTGGTTCGGCTTTTCACCTTGGCGGCGGGGAGCAACACAGGCCAGGCGTGAGTTCTGCCCAACGTCAGCGTTCGTGGTAGTGCAAATGAACCAGGTACCTCCTTCAAACGGGCGTGAGGTCAAAGGTTGACTTGGAATCGAAATTTAGATTATTCCATCTATGGCTTGACAAACTTCCCTACGTGGTCATGAGCTTTTCTCACAGGAAGTAGCAGTGCCTGGCTGGAAAATGCTGCTGCCTGTCGAGCAGAACTTACCTGCGTTTACCTTCTGTTACCGGTTGTTGCTAGATCAAGTCAGTGCTTTTACCGTGCTGTCCCAGGAGTGACTGTGTAACTGGAGAGTCACATGGGCCCTGTTGGACTTGCCACCTCTGGAAGCCATGAAATCGATCTAACGACTTGGGACCAGCAGTGGTGGTGTCCAAGTACGCTGTCACCTTACACAAACTTTCCCTTCCTCAACAGCACCCCAAAAGGTATCAAAAGGTTAAGACTTCGGAGTTCTAAAACAAACAATAGGCTGCATTCTGTTGAAATATTTGAGTAATAACTTGCATAGCAAGATAGGGTGTTAATAAGCCTTTTTTTTTAACTGAATTCTCTGGAAGACTCAGTTATGGCAGAGTTCTACTGTCTGAACTGTTCCCTGCTCGAGAAGCAAGGGTGTCCTGTTAAAAAGCGAGTGGCTGTGACAAGGGCAGGCTAGCAGTAGCAGAGGTGGGGGTTCCTGATGCCCACCTGGCTGTAACACCAGCACCTGCCTGACTGACATCTACACAGGCTTCCAAAACTGACAGGCTCCCAAAGCTTGGCTGCTGCCTGGGCCCTCGGCTTGGCACAAAACCCTGTCCTACTGCTCTGGTACCATTATTGCTCATCGCTTGCTTGTTATTGCCGTTGGCAGTGATTACAAAAAAAAGTACACAATCGGAATACGAGTGCCCTCTTCCATCAAACCTAGTCCAGAATAGAATGAAATAGGTTTTTTTTCTCATTTCACTGTAAAGAGCTAATCGCGATTTATTGCCTTTCCATTTTACTCTACTTAAAAATATATATTTGTGTCCATTTTAAAGCAACCCTTCAGTGTGGTCAGCCTGGCTTTCCCAATACATACCCTTAGTGCATACGGGGTGGGCGGCGGGAATTCCTACCGACTAGTGCCTCAAGTGGTTTCCTGGAATTGTCACCGTACTGCCGGCGGCGGGTGAGGGACTGAAGGGTGACGGGTTACTCCCCGGGGTGCCCCCTGGCTCAGAACGGAGCCATCACAGAGTTTGGAGCTGTTGCAGCGCCAGGCAGCTGCAGCCCTGCCCTGTCCCTGCCTCCTCCTCCAGTGCAGCCTCACAGCTAAATCTGGTCATGTCGAAGGGGTATTTATATGTAAACACTAGAGCGTAGGGAGGGCTCTGAGCTGCCACCTCTGCTCAAACGGAACGCAGCAGAAAACGCTCTGTGACGACAGCGAAAGCCCTACCACCACCCCAGGAACGTGACCGCTTGTAACGGGGTTGAGCTGGGCCGTGTGGTTAAGCCACCACCCTCGACTCAATACACGCTAGTTACATTTAGGAGCTTGTGCTTTTCCAGAAGGCAGGGGAAGGGAGTAAAATTTTATCAGTGCTTTTTACCTAAAAGGGATGAACCTTCTAAAAGGTTTTTGAGTTAGTGTCCATCACAAATACTATTTGAGTAGTGATGTCATTTCTCTGCTTACTCAGGGAAAGCTGCAAATCAAGGAGACTCAAAACTTCTC